GGGCAAAATCTTCATTTTCGCTAACTAGAGAATGTTTACCACAAATACTATACCATTTCACAGACAGACAGATGGACAGACAAGCAGAAGGACATTCAAAGATGAACATTCAGAGACGAACGGAGGTGCATTTTAAATTTGAAACTGGAGAATTTATATACTATGGCCTTCGGAGTCTTTTTATGCGCTTTATAAAGTTATTGAGGAAAACTGGTTTTGATACACTCTAATATTGAATAGGCGTGTTCAATTTTTTCCATTTTTGTACTGGCGCTACGCCATCGCCCATAAAATATTTGCGCACATGCATCAACGACAATTTATAAGTAATGAGCAAAAACAATTTTGTTATTCCTTTTGAATAAAAGAGGTGTTCTCAATTTGCATGATACTGAGGGCGTGTCCTTCCACCGATTTTGCCCATTTTCAATAAAAACATGCAAGCAAGAGCTTGCAACATTTCTGTCCACTTTATAATCGGTAGCTTCATTTTTGTGGCCAGGGGAATGTTTACAACAAACATTACACAGACGGATAGTCGCATAGACGGACAGACGTACATTCTGAAATCGATCTAGAATTTGAAGCGGATCACTTTGTGAGGTCTTTGACGCACGGCCATTACTTTAAGGTAGTTGGCAAGAAATAGAATATGAAACGACTTTTCTTTCAAGATAAACTTTTTCATCGCAATGTGACATTTAAATCGAGTTTTACACCGAATCGAGCATAGCGTTTTTAAGAGCCTAATAGGAATTTCATCACCATTTGGACGGCTATGTATTAAATGAGCCTTGATAGCCCCTATAAGTACATAAAGTTTATGAATATGTAATAACTGACAAAACTTTCGGTGGAGCACTTCCAGTTAGTGATTCATGGACTTGTAATGGCCGTCCGTCCATGACCTATTGTGTTAAATGCGTGTCCGTCCGTCCATGGGCTGCTGTATTACATATGATGTATATATATGGATAATATATATATCGAAACAAGGTGTGCAATTGGTTATTAGCAGACCTATTATAAAATGATTGCTTATTTCGCTCAATGATTTACTGCTTTGATGAGACACTTTAGGAGAGAAGCAATGTGGGTATCTTTGCTGTCGTAATTTTTTTAAGATTCACTCAGCTGATATAGAATATATTTTTCTCGTCCGAAAATGAGGCTTAGATTTCGATGGCAGTGTTAACACTCAGTCAATCATATGAAAACGATCTAGTAATCTATTATTTCTTGAATTAAACGACGTCTTGAACACGTCGGTTAGTAAGAGTTTATATTCTTAAAAAAGATTCCGGGAAAGTTAATGATTTCGATAGTTTTTTTATTTGATTGTTGTCATAAAACACTGAAATATGTAAAAAAAGGCGATTCTCTCCATTCGTGTAACACGGTGAAAGAAGTAAGGAAAGAAGAAGAGGTCTGGAATGGCAGTGACCAAAGTATTCTCTCGCTCACTTCAGATTCGAGCCCGCAAACAATCACTTGATTGTCGTGATTCTTACCTGTTAGGGTGGCTCATACTTCATTTGCTCTCTTACTTTCATTCAGTAAAAATGCTTAGATGATATATGCGAATCTAATGCGACAATGCAATACTTCAACTTAGTTGATGACACTCCCGACATTTCCATGGGCATTAACTATTGGAAGGTTGTGGGTTTTCAGTTTACTTGCCTCTGACTTCTGAGTCCTTGCGGACTCGAAATATTCGGAAAGCCATATGATATCAAATGGGTTCCAAACATCCAAAGTAAAATCTATACATACATACATGTTAAATATTGAAAAATGTTTTCTCTAAATTTGCAAGAATTTCTAATTGTTCCATGAGTTTTGCCATGAATTTCGATGTTGTGTTCGCCGAACGATGTTCGTGCTGGATGTTGCATTTTTTCCGTTTTTTTTGTTTTTTTTTTTTTTTTTTTGTTTATCATTTTTAGTTGTTACAATAATTGATTTTCAAGTTTTATTTAATTAAGTTAATATGAAACTCATGCTGTTATTATTGTTGTTGTTCATGTTGTTGTTATTCAATGTTATAAGATGTTTTCTATAGTTGTTATTAAGTTTCCTATAGTCTGCTTACCTTTTTTGTTGATATTTTAAGAAAAATATTTTAAAAACAATTCTCTTTCTCGCGTTCAGCAATTTAAATTTTAATTATTTAAATTATTTTTAACGTATGTACACATACACACTTGCTATGTTCGACTAATTTTATTACTTTTACATATATATTATTTAATTTTTCGTATCTTCATTTATTGTAATTAAATTGTTGTAAAATAGAAAGAAAAACAGTAATAGATAGAGCAAACCTTCTATATCCACACACACACACACCACATTATACAGTTTTTAAAATATCGTTTTAAAACATTGTCGCCCACGATTAACGGTCAAGAGATTAAACTAACTAACTCTTCTCCACAAATTTCCATAGCTAATAACAGATGCACGCAGGCAAAGACGTTCATATCGTGAACTGATTCAAAATTTTATTCTAATCCATAGTAGTATGCAAACAAACTAGGAGCTGTTTGAAGCTCAGACAAGTTAAAACTTCGGAATGACCCCAAGATGACCTCAACTAACACGGCTTGAAGAGATCAAATGAAATGCATAATGCATGAGAAAAGAAATTACGAAATTTTCGTAGCGGTCGAAGCGTTACTCTGTGCGAAGAAGAAGGCGGGTCCCCTAAAGGTTACTATATTATTCAGAAATTTCTGCCGAGTAGAGAGGATTTTCCTTAATTCTTTCTCTCTTTATAAGTTGTGATCACATGTAGATCTAATCGTAGAATTCATGCTTTCATCAAACTTGAAAATCTCGTGCATCTCTGCGCAACTCTTTTCCACTGTAAGATTTTAATTAAATTCGGATTATATACCGTTCTGAGAGGAATTACAATTGGGTAGTTATTCCTTTGATACGTTTTAGGCTGGGTATGAATTGAATTGAATTCAGTGAAATGTTAGATTATTTCCGCCTTTACCTTTGTGCTTGTCGATTGTATGGACTATCTTCGTTCTTAAAAGACTAGACCCTACAATTTAGGAAATTTCGGGTATCGTTCTAGTTGTTCAATTAGGATGTGAGCTTAAAGGATAAACAAGTTTAGCATTAAATCATTTGCGACATGTTTCTTTTGGTTTATATTTACTTTATTTCCCTTTATTTCAATAAAATACAGGGAGAGAGAGGAAGATTGACTATACGTAACACTTTAGAGGATGACGCGAATATGTCGTTTACAGGGCATTTTCAGAAACTAGTCTTTTGTGTGGCGAAAAACGGCAATTTTAAGCTTTACATGAAACGAAATTGAGCTTGCGGTCGAGAGCGGGGAGGACAGTCTTTTATCGAAACCCATTGAAGCATTACATTTGAGAACAATTGGAATAATTACATCACTTCACAAAGAGATTTAAGGCCAGAGCTTAACATGCGCCATCACTGGGAATGATATTCAGGTGAGCGCTTTGCGACGTGCATCTTAGTATAGAAGGCAGCCGCTGACTACTTTACAGCGGCTTTTATCGTCTACATATAGCGGTCACTTAATAGCTTACAGCATCTGATGGAGTCTACAAAGTGGCAGTCAGTTATTATAACGTCTGCACATTGCAAGCGTTACCTCGTCGCGCAAGGGTTAATGAAAATATGAAGTTCAATTAAGAAAACTGTCAAAACTTTTCAGCAAAGATGGCCTTTCTTTCTTTTGTCCACTTACGCTTAAGTTGCTTCTTCTACGTATTTGCCTATTTGTGGAAAAGGAGCGCAAAGCAAAAAAGGCGGCTTTGTGCTTCATCGATCATTTCATACAAAGTTCGATTTAACCGAATGCATTTCGAAGGGCACGGCACGTTGACTAAAAATGCAAACATCGAATTGTGTTTTGCGAAAAGAACAAAGTAATACTTTCCTGTAGTGGTGGGTGAGAAGGAGTTATAATACGATGTTTTACTGCGTGGGCTTAGGATGGTTGATTGGATTGGATTGGATTTTGAAGGAAAGTTGAATGTTCGATTGTTGTTTTGTTGTTATTGTTTAACTTATAGGTCTGTGTCTTTTGTTGTTTGTTTTTATAATTTATAAACTAACTCTTTAAACAATTTTCTCCTTTGTTTTTAGTTTTATTTTCATTGGAAATGCTAAACGATTACGTTTAAGTTAAATTATTATTATTTTTTTTTTATATAATTTTAATTGTTTTTTTTTTTTTTTTAGTATATGTATAGTAATTGCAAATTGTTTTTTATTCAAATTTCATTTTAATAGTATGTACATAGTGGTTGTTGTTGCTCTTTTAAATAATTTATTTTTGTATTAATTTTTATTTTTTTTCATTTTCGTTCAATACTTACACTAAGCTTATTTTAATATCAATTACATGCTTATTTAGTTCTTCATTTTTACTAACTTATTTAATAAGTAATTGGATTTATATGATTTTAGCTACTATTTCTGCCATTTGTTTTTTTTTTTTTTTTTTTTTTTTAAAATTTAATTTTTTTTTTTTTTTTTTTTTTTTTTTTTTTTAAAATTATTTTTTTTTTTTTTTTTTTTTTTACTCATTTCATTGTTATTGTTATTTTTGTTTGTTTTAAATTAAAAATTACTTTTACTTTTTGTTAACTAAAAAAATTGTTATCATTTTTTAGAATATTTTACAAGTATTTCTTTTTTTTTTTTTTTTGTTTGTGTGTAAACATATAAACATATATATGTGTTTGCATATATATATACACCTAAACATCTACACAAATATATATGTATACACATATATATGCATATATGCTTTTATTAAACTACTAATCGTGTCTCACCTAAATGTGTTGTTAATTGTTGTTTTTTATATAATTATTATTTTTTTATAAATTTCTTTTTTCGGTAATTTAATGAAATCGTTTAGTTTTCGTTTTAGTTTTTGCTTTGAGGTGTTTGTTTGTGTTTTATTTATTTATTTATTTATTTATTTATTTTTGTTTTTTTTTTGGTTGTCTTTAATTTTCTGGTTCTCGCTAAGAAATTATTCGTGTGTAAGACTTTTCGTTTAATTGGAGTCATCTTTCGGTTTTCGCTTTATTTTGCTGTTCTTAATTTCTTAATTTCTCTTTTTTTTGTTTTTACTATAATATTATTCTGAGTGTATAATTTTTGAGATATTTAAAACTTGGTTTCTTTTTTTTCTTTAAGTTGAAATCAGTGCTCTTAAAAAACGTTCGCATTTTGTTTAAAAATATTTTTAGTTTCATGATAACAATGAATCTATGACCGATATCGTTTGGTTTTAATGATAAATGCTTATAAGAAAGTTATATGAAAAAGATGATGTAAGAAAAAAAATGCAAAACTTAAAATGTACTCGTTAGTAACTCGAAAGTAATCAAATTGCTGAGGTATTCGCTATAGCGATATTCAGAAAAGGAACGAGGCGAGTGATGTGACTTTCGTTTCACGATTCGCCAATTTCGCTTTGACGAGAGTCTTATAATTTGATTATGCGATGAGGCGAGAACTGCTTATGTAATGTAAACCGTAACAGCACGAGGAAAGTCTACACTCCTATATCTGAGCGAGGCTTATCGCTATGACATTTTACACTCAATTCAACAATAACCAGGAAATCTGTATCTGTTCTCAAGACAATTTACAAGCTTTGTCGCCTCTAAAAACATGATTGTTTTTACTTCTTTTTTTAACTTTGGCTCGCTATTGGAATTCCACACAAATAACATCGAAACTATTCCAGATTGCGTATGAAAAACTTTTCTTACATAGTCCCTTCCCACCAACGTCTCTGACCGTTTTTATTACTGTTGTTATTGTTGATGTTAAATGAACGCATTTGGGGCCGTCTTAAGCCGTAAAGCCTTTGTCAGCAAATAGTTTCAAGTTCAGACGCAGCTGCCCGTTGCATAGCCTGACGCTTGCGATACTCGTAAAATTCTTCTTTCATAGCCTGTAAGCGTGTTTCCACATTATCATAACGAGTCGATAAACGCGTTTTTCGCATTGAAGCGTTGTTAAGAGTGGCTGAACTGGAGAAGGTCATATTCATTGGATGAGATCCATGAAACGATGATGTTGTATTATTGCTTATAGGACCTAAGGTATGATGATGATGATGATGATGATGATTGTGATGATAATGCTGAGACTGATGATGGTCGTGATTATTGTGCAAAGCTTGAAGATGCGAATGATGATGATTTAAATGACCATTGGTATCTATGTGTAAATTGAGATCTTCTCTTAGCAGGCCACCGGTCGGCGTCGATATACTAGGAGTTGGTGTCGATGGATCAAACTCATAATGGCCGTCGACACTTCCCACATCTATCGATTTGGGCAACTGAATATTATCGGTGGCGTTATTTAATCGCGTTATCATATCTAACCAGTGTTCCATAGTGTAGGGTGGTGTTATAGTTCTTTGCGTACTTGAACTAAAATAATTTGATGGTGAATAGTGCTGATGATATTGCTGCTGGTTATGTATAACCGGTACTTGTGCTTGAGCCTGCTGGGGTTGCGTCGCTCGTTCGACTCCTCCGCCCAATGCTGATGGTTGCGAGCCGAAATATGTTTTATTCGAGGCTGGTGGTGGGGGCGGCGGCCTGTAAGGTGGCAGCAAACGCCATTCACTTGTGCTGCCCGAATGATGAGATCCCTGCGGTTGATTTGATGTATTTTTCGAACCAAAACCACTTGAACTGGAACGAGACTCAGGTGAGGCATCTAAACCAAGAATACCCGATTGACTTGGTGCTCTTAGTGTAAGATTCAGATGTGGTAATGGCGACATTAATTCTGCCTGAGGCCGTCCGAGCAGTCTGGAATAATGGCGTGGATACCAGCGAGTCCGCGGCCTATAACTATGGTAATAAGGAGCCTGGTTGTGCTGGTAAAAACTACGCCATGAAGGCGGGGAAGGAATTTGTAAGGGAACAAATTCGTTAAGTTGCTGCTGCTGATGCTGTTGTTCCAAATTCATTCGTCTCGTTTCCTCTTCGATGGTACGTAAAGCCGGCAATTCATACGAATAATAACGATAACGACTTAAATTGCCACTGGCTGTGGGCGTTAGTGTTGGCATTGATCTTTCAGCTGAGCCCGCATGCACTGAACTCAAGTCATTGAATTGATTATAGAAAAAATTGCCTCCAGATGTACCATTATTGCTAGGGGGTGTAGTTAAAGCCCAAGGTGACATTAATAATCCCTGATCTCTTTCGTTTAACAAACCGTTCGGTGTACTAGCCGGTGAACTTGAGAAAATTCTAGATACTTTTGATGGGGAGAACACGTGATGCATATGATGACTCAAAGAGCCACTGATTGTGTTTATATGTAACGGTCGATTGGCTGGTTGAGTTTGTTGCGTATCTCTAAACTCCGTTTGATAAACATTTTGATAGCGGGCTCCCCCGGTTGTCGTATTTTCATTATCATTATTAACGGTATTAGAATTAGCGCCAATCTTCAATAAACCTCCGAGACCGTGCAGTAAGCCTCTGGCTGAACCAGCTGCCGCCGATTGCAAACTTAATTGACTGGGGGAAGCAACCAAAGGGCGCCGCCAAGAAGCACGAGCAGTTATAAAATTGCGACGTGAAAGAAAACCACCATCATCGCTTGACGATGAAGCAGTACTATTACGCTTTGCGTCGTCAACTTCATCAATACCGTTATCGATTCCTCTCATATTATCAATGACGGACAACGATTTGCCGTTTAAAAGCAATTGACTATCCCGCGAATGAGTTATTTCTTGTACTGATGTTCTATTCTTACCTGATGTTACTTGGTATCCTCCCACATCTTCTCCGGCCGCTACATGAGGTGAACTATAAATCGAATGACAATTGTTACACCGATCAGGCGGCCATATCCAATGCAGTATAGCGATTAGTATGGTAGTTAGACTTGATACTCGGGTTTCTTTATATCTGAATATTCGAAATCATAACAAATAAAATAATTCGATTAATAACAACGATATAGTTATAATAATGGTTTAAGCGTAAAAACATGCGATTTGATTTAAATGAAGTGAAAATGTTTTGCTATTGTGAAAAGCGCAAAATATTGCTTGATAAAATTCTAAATCCATTGCAGTATATGTATATAATATAAGTGAAAAGTATTGAAATTATTATTATTTGTTTTTACAATGCTAACCTTTTGCACTATAACATCCATACAAGGATCATCGTCAATTATGGGAAAATAGACAGATGTGGGTATAGATGAGAAAGTTTTCATACAATATGACGTAATAAATTGGAAATAAAAATCAAGTTAATACAACAAGTTATGCGCCATCATATTTGAATTGATTCAGGGCATTTGCCATAAATTATTACATATGATCTGATCTTAGAATTATTAAGTGAACATAGACTCATATTCAAGTAAAATGATAATCTTTCACGATACTAATAGCTTAGCTTCTTCGTTAGTTAACGTCTCCCGGCAGACAATAGAAGATAAATAAAAAGCTTTCATTTCCTATTACATATTCTGAGTAAAGAGATTTTATATATACGTTTTATATAACTATCTTTAATTTTACTTCATTAGGGTTCCTTTCCTTTTTTTTCCGTTTATCCTATTTCACATCATTTCTTTTTATTCCCTTTAGACGATTTGTGAAGGCGTAATAGTACAGATAAATTTAATAGTAAGAGAAATCTAGATTATATACATAATATAAAGAAACTAATTAACTAATATTCGTTAAAAATGAATCCCTAATGTCGTTGGCTTGTCTACCAGAGTACGGCACAGGATTTCATGATTCGAGGTGCATAAGCTAAGCTTTCTACAAGGTTTCCCAACTTGTTAAAGAAATGAGAGATGGACTAGCAACCCAACATACATAGTTAAATCAACCCAATCTAGTCTAAAAGAAAAAATATGTGGCTTTTTTTCACCAAAATTCAAATATCATTTTGGTATATGTTAAATGAAATCTTGACAGCCTCTTGAATGCCTCTTTCAAGGAAAGTTGCCAGTAGTTCACAATGCTTAGTTCGGTTTCAATCAAGCGTTACTCCTCCTAAAGGTCAATGGTAAATTAGAATTTAAAGTTGACCTGAATCTTACAACCGCCAAAAGCGGCGAACGTAAGCGCTTGTTGAAGAGATAAAATCAATAATGCCCCTATAAGGTAGCCAACGACTTATGTCGAAATCTGCAGTAGGATCCCAAATCAATATTCCGCTCATGTCCGATAAGGTTACGCAGCTCATTTCGTACAGCGTCCAGCGATTCTGCACTGGTTATAACTGAGATGATTTCGACCAATTTGCTCGCTAAATAGAAGCCGTATGTGTAAGACCCAAACACGTGCGAGAAGCAACATCTTGCGGGACATAGGATGACAGATGAGTGGCAAAACAAATGAGACGACTGGTTCCCGCGGAAACAGGAGGAGTTGATTTCTATGTAAGACAGCTACTCGTGGCATATAGTTGCTTTAAGGCTTACCTGGATCGCATCAATCACGAAGACGATTCGCTACGCTCACAGTGTGGAGTAGCAGAGTAGACTTGGATCCTACGAATCCAGGCATGGAACCGCTCTACAAACGTCACCGACACTCATTAGTAATATGTTGTTCTATCCAATTGATAGCAACTTCTTTGTTTGCTTAGGTGTTGACAACTAAGAAGACGACCAATTCAACGGGCTGGTAGGTGCCTTCGTGAAAAGTAATTACAAAGACTGTAAAATATTTTGCATAATATCTCCATCAAAATAAGTATGCGGTAGAAATCACACGCTTTGATTTCAGGTAGCATGATCGTTCTTTAAGGCGGACTCACGGACAGGTCTAATGAAAAATATGGATACTTAATTGGCTGTGGTTAACATTTGTTAGCGTTATAAACATAGGAAAATGTTCAATATAATGCATTCCCTGATGTTGAATATGAAATAAGTTTCGTTATTGGAAACTTTGCCACTGACATAGCCATGCTATGCAATTTATACGATGCCACACTCTACTACAAACCTTTTCGTTTACTCAAGATGTCGGTTTCAAAAAACCGAATATCGTACGGGGAGAATCAACTAATAAATAAAGATAACTATGGCCAAAGATAGCCCTATCAGCAACGAAATGTATGGGTAGCCTTAAGTATTATCATAAAAATTTTAGAAAATGTTGGGATTCTTTTTCACTACTTACAGCTTTATTTTCTGTAGACTCGGACATGGTATTGGCTCAATTTTCAATCGTATAGAGCTATACAGTTAAGAGTGCAAATACGTAATTGATTTCAACGAGTACAACTTCTGTGGAATAAGATGCCAAGGAAGGAAAAGAATATGCGAAATGATATTTCAACACCAACTGACGAAAGCAATATTTCCGTATACGTAATTCCATGCGAAAAGCAAAATTCAATGCTAAAACCTGCTTTCCTTCAGAGATGATCATCATTACGGTCATTACAGTACGAAAACCTTAGCTTGGAGAAAAAAAGACCGCTAAAGTGCATTTCGCACCGAGAAAAGCGAAATCCTTTTCCGATTTCATATAGCGTATATACTTGCGAAGCCCAAAACCCTCTGCCACTTTGTTTGTTTTTTAACTGAATTTAAAAAATTAGGACCTGGTCCTGTAAGGATTTGTCAGCGATAGACAAACGAAATGTTTTAAATCTCAAATAAATCGCCGTTCTCACACATATATGATAACACTGCCGACAGACTTTGCGATTTCGGCGACGTGTCTTAATTACATGATATTCCCAGAATTAGTTTACAAGTCGCAGTAGTTTTAATGACATTACACTTTTGGTTGCTCTAAACAGTTTTTGCCAGTCGCTGTCCACTCGACTAAGTGTCAATTTGACTTGCGAATATAGTTCATTCCAAATTTAGGTTTTTAAAAAGTTTACTATCAGGCAAAAAGCTTACGATATATTTACTATATTTATTAGGTTCAAAGATTTTCAGTTTCATATTGATAAGGAGAAATTCACTATTCACTGCCGAAACGTTGAATAAACTGTGTGTTCATCTTAAAGCACAGATTAGACGTGGGCCCGCAATTTTTTTTAACTACTGAACTCTGAAAATCTTAGTTCCTCACAGTCGGCCCAAGGCACTGTCACTCTCATTTTGTTCTCGTAGCAATGTCTAAGCAAATTTTGCTTTCATTTTAATTAAGTGAAAAAGACAAATCAAACAACAAAGAATAGAAAATAAAAAACAAATAACTTTGCTAATAAATTGAAAATTCTTACGATTTTGATTATGACATGATGGACCTGGTACTATGAAAACGGTTTCATAATCACGGTAGTGTTCAGAATTGCTAGCAGAGGGAGAAAGAATGAAGAATACATGGAGAAACCGAAATATTTTTGTTAATAATTACAGCATATTAGAGCAATATTAAATAAACAAAACAAGAACATCAATTATCTTAACTGTGCGTAAAACGCTGATAACGAAGAATATAAGAACTTGAGCAAACAAAGCAAAAAGCAGTCAAATTAAGAGAAAAGTTAAAGAGAAAGATAAATCAAAATATTAAAACTAATTATACAACTCATTTGCTACACTAAAAGCTGAAAAGTAAACAAGGAAAAATAAAGAAGTAAAAAAGTTGTATTCGCAGTGTCGCGAATATATTGAATACCCACTACATAAAAGCAAAAGCAACAAATACAAAATTTCGTTCATCAGAAGCACATGAAGCAATAGCTCAAACTTATTCTTGCTAAGAGCTTCTAGATAGTAATTTATGCCAAATTTTAGTCAGAAAGACGTCCGCCATGGCTTGGCAAGCGGTTTTTCTCCATATTTGGGAGTAGTTTCTTTTCCTTCATTTTAAAACGTGCTAAAGGTCGCAAGCATTAGATTCCACGTGCAAAGCTTTTAAGTTCCCATTTGTATTCGCCGGCTCTTGGGAGTTCCTCAGAAGACTGACTGCCTAAATGACTTGATCGGGAATATCTACATAAGAACATATAGAGAAACTTTCGGTCTCTTTGCAGTGTTATCGAATCAAATCAATTGTTTAAGCTTTTGAGCTGCCTCTGCGCTGCTTGGACTTTTACGAATTCTAAAAATAGGAATATAAGGGTGACCGATTGGAGAGAACAAATTAATCGTAGACATTTTAGTTAATTGTGTCTTTTATGCGCATTCTCAGTCAATTTAAGCGAGTGACCTAAGCGAGAATTATGTTCATTTTGAAAAGAAGTTTTTAATTATCGGTCAGTTTAAATTGCACACATATTGTGAGTTGTTTCTTAAAGTGAGGTTATGACCTTTTTAAGGATGTGGTATGCGACCAATCACTCAGGCGATGTCTTCATATAACACGGCGACGGTTTGAAAGAATTGGGGAAAGCGAAAGAGGTAAAGCGTGTCTGCAATCTATTGAGTTGCAAGCTTGTGCCCCCGGCTCTAAGCCACAGGTATACATGAAAAGCATTAGCTTTCATTCTTAATTTTTATAATTTTGCACATTACATCTAGGCCGCACTTTCGTATTTCTTTTGAAAGCAAATCAATTTCTCGATAGTTCACGTAGACGAATACGATCTCAATTTTTAACTTTGACACTTCGTCCTGTGATAATTAGGAATGTATATTATATATATATACGTATATATATATATATATATATATATATATATATGCTTGGTTTATACATACGGTAGTATTCGACTTGCCTTTTAGTAGTGCTTACGCAAATGACGACAAATTAAACGAAATTAATTCAGATTTATTATCAATAATTAGGAAAACCAATGAAACAAATCGCAAACAAAAAAGGTACGAGATTATAGATTACATTTGTAAGAAGAAGGAAAAAGAAATCCAAGATAACTTACTTTTTTAAAGGCACTTGACAAGCGGAAATCGAGCCCGTATTGCGATTGTGCATTTGTGGTTGTTGTTGCTGATGATGTTGCTGAAGTTGATGTTCTAATGGTAACTGTTGTTGTTGTTGTTGTTGTGACTGATGCTGGTGATGATGTTGCTGATGCTGTTGCTGACGGTGATGGTGATGATTATTTGCTGCAATATTACGGGCATCCGTTATCCGGCAAGCTACCATGTTGAACTCTGTAAACGAATTATTTCTTCAATTAATTTTGGGTGGAGTATTAGCCCTGTCCTTTATTTATATTAAAAATATATAAATATTTCTTTTCATATATCTACACGTAATTTATCTGCGTTTTATGTATATGAATTGTTTTACATTGCATAGCATTTTTGTATATATATAAGTTAGTCATGATTTTTGTTTTCACTTTTAACTCAAGGGTTACACTCTCCATACCATATCCATATACCAAATCATACCATACTGGAGTTTGTTTAATAACAAAAGAAATTAAGAAAAAAAAAAAAGGAAAAAAAAGAAAAAATTATAACAATTTATATATACATGTGTGTAAAGGCAAAAATTTCAACTTAAGAAATAGAAGAAAGCTTTATCCAAAACGTTCTGTTGTTATTATTATAATATTACTCTTGCTATATAAGGCAATCAATGTTAGCTTTAGTAAATCAATTACTAATGTGTGTAATACGTTTTCGGTTAATCTGTTAGCAGGTTTAATTAAATATGAATACAGCCCGAGATCAAAAATTAGTATAAATATTCAGTCCATTACATATTCATTACAATACTTACAATCTATATACTACATTCCATGTACAAATAATTCCGTATATATATATATATATATATATTCCGTATATATATATATATGTGTGCGATCTAGATATAGCAAAAGGTCCATAAACTAAATAATTATATTATACTTAATGTAATATTCAGTTCATTTATATATATATATATATATATATATATATATGTACATATATGTATATATGTATAGATGTATATTTGCAATGTACAATTAATTTAGGTAAGCAAAAGCTCAGAAAATTTATTCTATTCTAATGTACTGTACACAATATATATGAATTTTCATTCATTACATACAACAGTGGCGTCCGCTCTGTAATATATATAAAATAATAACGAGTTGATATTAATTATTACGTACATTTTTTAGTCGTTTTCATAAAATGACTTGCAATCAAATTTGAGACAATTAAAAGTTGTTTCCTTGTTTTCTAAAGATTAAAAATGAAATATACGATGAGAATTTTATATTCAAAAACGCCCATAAGTGAAGATATCTTTAACACATTTTTAGCCTCAGGCCTAATGACATAAATAAACGTTTTATTATACAATAAAAAGGACGACAACTGCTTTTAACTTCTTTGCGTTTTTCGCTTCTTTTCTCGGAACTCTTACTTTTCTCTTACTTTATTTAAATCATACTTTGCATCAAAAGAATTTGATATGAAAATGTTATCCATTCCGTTCAACTACGCTTTAAGAGGAATAGAGATTCGTTCAAAAAAGCATAACAAATCAAATTACGGGTCCAGTAATGAGGCTGTTTTGTGAAATGCATCTGAAACGTTTTCTGAAGCTGCGTAGCTTCTTACACTCCAACTTTGACGAGTAGTGTAACACCTTTGGCAGTTCGCTTGTGATAGCCAGAAATAAGAAACAAAGATCTGATAAGGAACGTCCATATGCTTGGGTAGTTCAAAATTCCTGCATGCTTTAGCCACGGCTTGTATGTCGATTCATTATTGATAATCGTTCAATCGTTCAACTGGACGCTTATTGTCTTAATATAAGCGTAGAAATCAAGATCGAACCGTAAACAATGCTGCGCTTTCTAAGGAACTAAAAAAAACCGCCTCTAAAATTATTAGCAGCACCGTCTCAGAGATCTGTTCAGGATTAATTGCGACAGGGCAGTTGAAGGACTCACCTTTATTCAATAGCTTTCTGATTTTGTTTGACGCAACTAATACCCATGAGTGAGCCCATCACGACTGTAACTTTTTATGTGCTTTACAAGATAATATCAGGCCATTAAAATTTATACACAAATAAAAAGTAGAGAGAATGACAACCAATCACTTCCTCGCAATATATCAAAATGAAATTTAATATGTGAATCTTTTACATATAACGCAAGGCAGGGGTGTATTGCTGACAAAACCTCTGCAATGCCATGTAGTTATGCTTCTGAAAATTTGATTTTTAGAACTGACTGAAGAATATACGGCAGATGAGATGGTTAAATATATTATTATCGTTGCCGAGAATATATGCATCTTATGGGATACTTATGTCTGCGATTGTTGGCATTCTTCTGAGAAGAAATTCCGCGAGTATAACCAGATTTCTATGTACATATTTGTCACCGCACGCAAACGGAAAAATGGACTGATGCAGTAAGAAACAAATCAGAAAATGATATTCGTGCTTGATCGAATCTTTTATACCCACCGCCTCTCTTTTACTTATCTGTTAGACTGATGTGGAATATACCTTGACATTTTTAGCCTGCGGACATTGTAGTTTATGAGCAATGAGTAGAAAAATGTAAAGAGCGGAGATATTCGTAGATTATTTCCACTGCAGGCGTACTCTTTGATCAACTTTGTCCTATTTCAATACTAATCTGCGTGCAAGAACTTGCAATGCTTCTAACTTTTGTGAGCAGGATAGTGTCAACAACGCACATCAGGACAGGCACGCAAGCACAGAGACGAGCAGACATCGCTCGATCGATTCTGAATTTGGTGCTCGTCGTAAATGTAGAGATTTCACAGGACTTTTAAAACTTGCTCTTGGTTGTTACAAACATTGTGACAAAACGACATTGTGACAAACGAATATATCCATCGTTCGGTGATGGATATAATAATCGTGGAGCCGCTTATGGGCGGAATTTTTCTCTTATACTATAATGGGCTCCAAAGACTGGGAGTTATAAAATTACAATGTCTAAAAAGGAATCTTAAAGGACAATTAACAAAAGGCGACAATCTTCCATGAGAAGAGATTAAAATAAAAAAGAATAAGAAATCAAAATTAAAGTTTCTGATAAAATAAATGAAATTCTGCCTTACGTAAACTTGCAGAGAATCTTACGTTGATCTTCGTGGATAAGAATGTCATAGGAAATTTTCATTAATAGCGATTTCGACACTATATTGTGTGAAATGCATTATGAAATGCGTTGCTTCCATTTATACAAGCCCCGTTTCAGCAAAAGTGAAACATGGACGTTATCGCATAAGCCCAATATGTAAGTGACCGCTCACTTCTGATGAAACATAATTTGTTTACTAATTAGCCCATCACTTGGAACTTATGGACCTTCTCAACAATGTTAGACGGTTTGTGACCTTCCTATTGAATGCAATGACCAATGGATACAATGTAGAATATATAATACAACTTTGAACAGGGGCTGACAGAGCCGCAAACATATATACCAGTGCTTGTCGGTAGTGCCAATCTTCAGGTTATAATCTTCAATGACGCGGATTCTTTAATTTGAAGAATAGGCAAACAAAACAGTTAAACATGTTCGCAGGCTTCGGTTGACCGTTTTGGAAGATTTTGAGGAATCCACATTAAAAATTGTCTGGGACCGTTTTCTTTTTTCTTTCCATCTTCAGATTGAGCGATCAAGTGCGTACAAAGGTAAGCAAAGGCCGCAGGCTTGTCGATATGCCCAATTGGTAGGTGTTACGATTGTGCCGACTGAGTGCGCATTGGCGTCTAGCGCTAGAAGATTTGAACCGACGAACACCGATTTGGTAGTCGCGATGCTTAGCTTAGCGGTGCTTTGTGCCAGCACACGACTAAATTAGAGGTAATTTGAGAGAAATATAATTGGATGGTTCGCGTAATAATAAAGAAAGAAAAAAAGAAAACAATTAAACTCCAGGGTAAACTGACCGAAATCAATCCACTTTCAAGCAAAAAAAAAAAAAAAAAAATCAATTTCTACTTTATTCTGCGATATTTCGAAAATGATCTTTTGTTTAAAAACTTGCATAAATAGTAAGGGCTTTGTAATGCATTTAAAAAATATTGGTCTATATGGCTGGGGAGTACAACACATTGATATTTATACACACATATACACACATAATTAGTTATTGATTTTTGTTTTTCATACATCATATACACATGTACACAAATTTTTACGTTACGTCTTAAATATTATTTTATATTTATATTTATATATTTTTTATTAGAGGATCAGGCTCTACAAAGTGATTAAAAAAAAAGGTGAGCATGAAATGGTTTTTAATGCAAAATGAAATTTATTTATAATCGCTATAGCATTTGGGATGAATATTAAAGGAATTATGAACAAGAAGGAAATCTATAGTTAGGGTTTATGAAGACGGGTGGGCTAAGGACATTTTCTCTAGGAGAACCATTTCTCTTAAGGTGAATGGAATGAAATGAAATCGAAAAGAAATTTTCAAATGATTATTTTATTATAAATGCTTTATGGTTGTGTTCGAATGCGTGTATATGTATATATGTACGCATGTATGTATGCGATGCGATAATTGCATTGTTTCATATTTGTACTGTCATGTTCATATTCGATTAGAGAAGCAATGAATGTGAATGACGTTTCGTAAAAATAATTTGTGATGGTCTTTAAGATTTCACGAAACACTTGTCTTTTTTGTTTTACAATTGTTTCTGTTAAAAAACTTGTAAACACACACACACACACACACACACACACACACACACATAAAACTATATATGTATGGATTAAATAATAGTTTTAGTTTGTTGGTTTCTTTTTTTTTTTTTTTTTTTTTATTTTTTTTTTTAAGCTTTGAAATATAACAACTTACCCCGTCTTCTGTAGTTTACTAAACGGTACGGTTTTAAAAGTTCGCTAACATAAAACTCAAAAATATTTAATAGTACAGAGAAAATAAACGAGTTGAAGCGTCGTTCTGGGGCTTTTACAAAAATATGCATTTACGAGGCAGCTATGCATTAATTTCTGTTTATCAATTATCTACGCAAAGTTGACTTTAACTTAAATGGGTTTAATTATCACATGCATGAACTGCATGAGTCTGCAGCAAAGCCTTCTTTGCCTGCGTAATTGTTTAACGAAATTAAGCGTACTTTTCTTTTGCGTTTTGTTTTGAATGAAACGTTTTAGCTGCCATCGTTTAGAAAATGT